ATTATTTACTGTTTTATAAATATTTATAATTTACCATTCTATAAAGAAATATGAAAACAAATCTTTTTATTCAAAAATGTCTGAAGTTTTGAAAAAGAAAATTTAAATAAACACATAATTTTTCAGAACATCATACATTTTCTTCTCAGATAAGTTCTTGTTTTAATTTTCCTCTTTTTTTTTTCACAATCATGATTGAAGTTCAAGAATGCCTAATCTATAGAAATACCTGATAAAAATGAGACATTCTATAATTATACTTAAGGAAAACTGTCTGCACAATAAATAGGGAGATACAGACTCAAAATATTGAATGTTTTTGGTCTTGCCCAAAATCTAAAATTAAAAGAATGTTTGGTCTAGAGGAAGAGATAGTCTCAACCTATTTTAGTGAATTTATGTGGCAAGTACAAGTGAAAGAAATTCCTGAAAAATACATTTTTTTTCAAAATTTATAATTAGACTTACTTGTTATTATGTGTTTATTTAAATTTGCTTGTTCACAAACATTTTTAAATTTATGAATGAAAAAAATCTCTTTCCATATTTATTTCTTTATAAAATGGTAAATAATAAATATTTCATTGTAGTTGGTTTATATATTTTTATAATCTTGTAAATAAACATTTTAATAACTAAATAGTGTGTGACATTTTTGTTGTTATTAAAATTCTAAATATAGCTTTTTAAAACAATAAACATTTTGGCATACTGTTTTTTTTTTCTGGTCCAAAGCTTAAACTTTGCCCAAATTAATATATCAGAGAGCAATAACTAATTTTGGTTACGGTCAAATAAACTTCATAGTAACATGTATGACTTTTTATGTTTCATTACAATGAAATCTTCATGACTGAATATACCAGGTGTAACACCAATTGTTAGATTAAGCTTTGAACAATTGTATCTTAGAAATGATTAAAGATATATTACTGGAATTCTCTGAGGTTTTTATAACACTATTGAACTGTTATAAAATAAAATAAGACATATCCCGGCTGATTTACAGGCAAATAAACTACTATAATCAAGAGCGAAAGCCGGATGTGAACGAGACAAAGCCCCATCACAAAATGACCATTATCTTTGTTTATACATGTTCCCGATGCACGAGTTCCAGTCAAAAAATAAAATATTTTAAAGTGTTTCTATTTTTCGACCAATAAAAATGCTTCCCTCCTAATTATACTCACATCGTTTTTCAAGCCTGTTAAGCCATAAAAAAATGCCATAAAAGGGGTCACACGGAAGTACAAAGGCAGTCAACAGATGGCCAGGGAAGAGACCTGTCACGGTCAGGCCGAGCGGTCAGCAGCAGCCAGCAGGAGGAGCGCTACCCAACCAGCGAGAACTACTATGAGAGATCAATCCACATCTTCAGCCGGCCTATGAACTATACCACAAGGTAGCTGTCCTGTGACAACATTTCTTCCTATATCGACAAAAACCTGGTCCATGCTAGGACATTTAGGGAGTACATACTCTCCCTCAAACAATTTTTTACTGCCCTCCGAAAATTCGGACTCAAGCTGAATCCCGATAAATGTTCCTTCCTCACACCAGAGGCAAAATTCCTCGGACACATAGTAAACAGCGAAGGATTCAAGGCTGATCCAGAATACGTTCGTGCCATCAGGGAAATGAAACCCCCCAACATCAAAAAAGGAATTACAAAGCCTTATTGGTCGTTTAGTGTGGATCAGACAATTCCTAGAGACATGACTTCACGAACAAATCAGGTCAGATATGTTTTCAAAACTTATGGGTCCCATACACGAACTCAACAAGGTTAATAATCCGTTTATCTGGACGCAAAATGCCAACAAAGCCTTCAAAAAAATCAAGGACCGTCTCTCTTCGCCACCCGTCTTCTCATTTCTGGATTTCTCCAAACTTTTCACACTCACAGCTGACACCAGTGACGTCGCATGTGGAGCAATCTTAATGCAAGAAGCTGACAACGGGAAGAAAGATATCATAGCGGTCGCTTCCCATACATTCAACTCCATGACGAAACGAGAGGCATATGCAATAAAGTGGGCAATATTGAAATTTGATTATTTCCTTTGCAACCGCCCCTTCATCATCTTCACCGACCACAGATCGCTGACATATCTGGACCAACGAGAGTTCAATAATGCCAAAATACGACGATGGCATGAAGAAATTTCATGTTATAAATTCATCTTGGAATATGTTGAAGGCGAATCAAAGGTATGGGCTGACATGCTCAGCAGAGGTTGCGGACATAAGAAAGCCCCGAACAACCCTACACCGGCAGGCAGGACATTCGAGGTAAGCGGTTAAGACCTTCGCGTATACATCCCATCTTGTTGCCTCGGCGAATTTAACGGTTTACAGCTCAATCCCAAAACTCACACACCACAAAACGCCTGCACCCACAAGCACGTCACCAACGCATTCTTCGCCTATCACTCTACCACCACCATCTCCACTGAGAATCTGCAACCACCTCGGCATCGCAAATGAACAACAGAAGGACGACGCCCTGGCAAAGATCATCAGCGCTCTCCAGTCACCCACTCCAAGTGAACCTCATATCGATCCTGACGACCACCAAGCTCCACTTTTCAAAAAACATTTGCACCAATTTTTTCTAGAACCAGGCACCTCCGTTTTGATGATAAGAGACAGTAAACACTCTCCGAGATTGGTTGTACCATATAAACTACGATCCAGATACCTCTACCAGGCACACAAGGGCAACAACCACTCAGGTGTTACCCGTATGCGAGAACTCCTTTCCAGCTACTGGTGAGAATTTAAAAACCATGACATCAAGGCCTAAGTGCAAGGGCAACTACGGTAGACGTACCCACTGGCCCATTGGCCACTGTAAACGAGGAAAGAGACCATTCGATCTCATCTTTATAGACTTTGTCACAGTACCCAACTCAAAGGGAAAATGCTACATCCTAACCATCTTGGATAGCTTCAGCCGACACTTTACAGCCATACCATGCGCGAGAGACCGTGCTTTCGACGACGCCCACGGATTGTACCATTTCTTCCTTCGACACAGAGAGATTCCATGCATAGTATCCTCTGATTGAGGCACACACTTCACTGGAGAAGTCTATCGACAATTCTGTAACCAGATGTCAATCACGCAAGAACTTCACTGTCCTTGGTGCCTGCAAAGCTCAGGAAATATTGAGAGACAACATCACATGATGAAGAACGCACTCTATATGTTATGCGAAGACAAGAACTGTGAATGGACAGACGTTCTAGAATCTGTCGTTTCGTCCATGAATGCCACGACCAACAGCGCCACCGGTGTCTCCCCGCACTATGCCATTACTGGCCGTCACCCCAACATCGGCCTACCTACACTACACAGAAAAGAAATCACAAGCGACGATCCTGGAGCATATGGAATGCAAATTAATGCCCTGCTAAAGCAGGTTCACCACCACGTCACCCTGGCCAACGATGAAGCTGACCACAAACTTGAGACTAACTTAAATCGCCTCACATACAAGGACCCAATACAAGTAGGCGACAAGGTTTTGCTTCATCGGCCACAATCAACTGTAGCCCAATCCTCTCATCTGCCCTGGATAGGAAATTACACCATTATAAAAACGAACAATATGATGTGTCAGGTGCAAAATGATAATGGTGATGCAATCTGAATTAACCATGCACATATCCGACGACTGGCTCCACGCCCAACACATCTATCTAATACAATCCCTCTGCCTCCACCATGTAACACTCACCAGGATCATTCTCCTCCACATCCCTCTGGGACACATAATTCAGCAAATAACTCCATACCAAAACAAATCCCAATAAGAAGAACTCGACAACTTCCCACACACTTCAGAGACTTTATCATGAATTAACCACATAAATATACATGAATAATGCTCACTGTAAATCAGACCGAAACCTGGGGGAGCCTTGTTATAAAATAAAATAAGACATATCTCGGCTGATTTACAGGCAAATAAACTAACATAATCAAGAGCGAGACCCGGATTTGAACGGGACAAAGCCCCGTCACAAAATGACCATTATCTTTGTTTACACATGTTCCCGATGCACGAGTTCCGGTTGAAAAATAAAATATTTTAAAGTGTTTCTATTTTTCGACCAATAAAAATGCTTCCCTCCTAATTATACTCATGTCGTTTTTCGAGCCTGTTAAGCCATAAAAAAACGCCATAAAAGGGGTCACACAGAAGTACAAGGGCAGTCAACAGGTGGCCAGGGAAGAGATCTGTCACGGTCAGGCCGAGCGGTCAGCAGCAGCCAGCAGGAGGAGCACTACCCAACCAGTGAGAACTACTATGAGAGATCAACCCAGAACAGCAGCCGGCCTATGAACTATACCACAAGGTAGCTGTCCCAAAACCACATGTTCCTATTGAAATAATTCACATAAATCTATTTCTGCTGTTGTCGTATTTCCTTCTTGCAACCATACGCTTGTCTATAACAGAACTCTACTTATATAATAATAATAATGTGTTTAGCTCTAAGTTGGAATGATGATCCCTATTGCTGTTGTGATCTCCTGATCCAGTTTTCCTCTCTACTGCTCTATCTTTTTAAAATTTATTCACCATTCTCTTGATGGTTCTTGAATGAACTTTGAAGATGGAAGCCAGATATGAATGTTAATACCATTACTGAAGATCTGAATGATCTTTTTCCTCTCACCATTATTCAGCTGAGAAGACAGTGGGGCTGACACAAAATGATTTTAACCTGTTCTTTTTCTAGCTAAATAACTCAAAGGGTTTTTCAGTGTTTCTTAAGAAAAATGGTGTTGATATGGCTAAACATCTTATCTGAAAACCTGGAAAAAAGAAACTCCATTATTTTAGTTTTTTTTTTTTTTTTTTTAGATATTAAACAATTTGTGGAATGGACAATTATCGCATGCTGTTACATGATTTGGACAATTTTGCTGTTACATCCCGTATTTGATTTGAAATTGTAAATTTTGTCTTTCTCTAATTCATCAGGTTCAAACTCATCAAATGGTGGGCACAGAGTTTTCTCCCTGGGGTCTCAAAGATAATCTGTGGCTTTAGGGATGACGATGGAGTTGTTCGTAGATTACAAGAATTTAATACACACAAGATCCCTGATATGGTCAAGGTTAGTAGCCTTTAGAGTTTTTTTTTTTTTTTTTTTTTAATTAGCCTCAGGTGTTGGCCAATCAGTGGGGACAACTGAATGAGAAAGTCTATCAGCCATCAGGGATTGACTGATTGAGTGATGTTTTTTATCTGTTATCAAACATTTGTTGCTTATTTAAAGCTGAAACATTTTGAATTGTAAGAATAATTCTATTTTTGTAAATAAATATTGCATTAACAATTTTTGAAAATAACAATGATCTTTCTGGTTACAAATCCTACTCTTTAACCCATATCCGGAAGGAGGAGGTGGAATCATACCTTCCAGCCATCAATATGAAATGAGACAAGTGAATCTGTTGACGTTCAAAACAACATTGGACAAATAATACAAAAAATGAAGTTAGCAAAACTTGTTAAAATCATATTTTAAAGTTTTTGGCAGATTTTTTTTTTTTTTTTATCACATGACATCATCCACTTTTGTAGCAGCAAAAAATGAAGCTCATCAATTATTAGCATGAATTTCTCCCTGGCTACATCTATAAAAAGCAAAACAACCAATATTTCTCCCTATGAGACAATTACCCGCACCATTTGAGAGTTCTCTTTTTACCCTGCATCTAACTTCTGAAGTGCAGTTCAGATGCTACAACAACTTGTTTCAAATTAAAATTTTCTGGTTGATTGGTTGATTGAATACAAGCATTAAATTAAATTTATCTTCCTCTAAATCTCCATGAAATTTCTCATTTGACCAGACCATTGATACACTTAAATAGGGAAGCTTATTTTCTGTGAAAACAGAAAAATGGATGGAAAAAAAATGGAAATCATGATTTGGAAATAGAAATTCCTTTTTCTAACAATTAGATTTTCCAACTGCCATTTTTACATGTTTGCCTTTCCTAAATCACTCATCCCTCACATTGACTGACATCAAAGGGTAAAGTTTGTAATGTTTTAATACATTCCCCCCTTACCTACTGTCTCCTTACAGTTTACAGTTTTATAAATACAGTTTACAGTATTCAATTTTATTCTGAAAACTGAAATTATATATACATAAGTGACACTTGAGACTATAAAAGAGATTAAACAAGTTGCTTTCACACTGAGGTTATTTGAGGTAATTGGAATCTAAAAAGGGACAACACTGTTATTATTGGCCTTACCTTCCAATATAGAAACTTTTCCATTGTGCTTACAATTTGAGTAAAATGTTTACAAAGTTATTTTTCTTCTGTCTCTATTATGGAAAGAAATATAGAATGAATATTCAAATATTTTGGATTTTATTTATGTACACCTCTTTTTTTTAATTCTTTTTGTTGTCTGTGTTGCTCCTTTCCGGTAGGTTTTGCTACTTTCACTTAATTCTTATTTAAAATTCTTTGCAAGGGATGTGCCAGAAACTCATCAAGTTTAACTAAGGGCTGCAGTATGAGGTGCAAAATTCTATCAAGTTGGGGAATCTTATTCAATGGGTGGATAATAATATCCTTATTAATCCTTGATTAACAATATTGTATGTGTCCATCTCACATGCAGGCATACCTCAGACAGATAAATATTTCACAGCAGTCAGAGCTCTGAAGACAAAGTTCTGTTCATCACCAGGTTTATTAAAAGCCAAAAGGGTGAAACTAGAAAAATAAATACAAACTTGAGACTAGTTTAGTCAGTATAACAAAATAAACAAAGAAATAAAAAGGAAAGAAGAAATATGATTGAGAGGCCAAAGTCTGAACATAACTGAGAATCTAAATGGGAAACATAGTTTATGTGCTTTGTGGTGTAATGGATATTGGCTTGCAATGAGAGAGAGAGAGCCAAGTTTGAATTCCATTCGGGTTTGTTACATGCAAATAACCTTGGGAAAGTTATGAAGATATCTCTCCCTTCAGCTATGGGTTCAATAGCTGGACAGGCTGGATCTTACTTGGCAACAAGCCTATCACAGAAAGAAATGGCAAACTTCTGTGAGAAAATCTTCTGCCTAGTCAGTCATGAATGGAAAGAGAAACCCGTATCATGTATGGCGCTTAACTGACTGAGTTTTCTGACTGGAATTATGTTTAAAAGTTACAATAATTTAATCTACAGAAAAAAAAAAATGAAGTTAATGTACACAAAATGGTTAGAGTACTGCCATCATATTTGTGCAAGCACTGTCCAGTCTTCATTTTCCAGTTTTGATAGAGTTCAAAAGCATCTCCAAGTCCTTTTAGGTGAAAATTTATTTTTCATTCTCTAAACCTCTCTCTCTCTCTCTGTCTCACAGGTGGAATATAGCAAGCCTCTCACTGCTCTCTCACTACTTCCATGGAAAGTGCTCAGATGAACTACATTCCTTAGTTTTGCCACAGCTTAACATTCATAGCTAAAACCCACCAATGCCACTTAAATAGTAGCAAACCACCTACATTCCCTTCATATTCCATTCTCCAGTGAGAAGTAAGTTCCACTCAAACAGCTTCTTCTTAAGAACCACTGCTCTGTGGAACTGACTCCTAAGAGGATGTTTCCTAAATCACTACAATCTTAACCTGTTAACTATTATCTCCTCCCACCTATCTATATAAACAGTCTTTTAATATAACCCTTTTACCATGAGTGGCCTCCTGGTCTTGTACAGAGAGGAGCTTAAGGTAAAAAAATAAACAAATGTTTGAATAAAAAGCTATTAAAAGAAACCAATTCTTAGAGAAAAAAATAGTTAGGAAGCTTATATATCAGTGATGCAGAATTAGAAGAAAAAAAGCAGAAGTTGCATGCCAGGTAATTTCTTAGGACTAAATAGGAAGTGGTCAAAACAGGGACTAATTGAAAATGTAGCTAAAGTAAAAGGGGATATTACTTTGTTCAGACCTTTTCCTCACACATTTTGATCCATTTCAGAAAATACTTGTAGCTGCTGATGCCTCCAAGCTGGCAGTGGCACTATAATAATAATAATAATAATGATGATGATGACAACTACTACTACTATTACTACTACTACTACTACTACTACTGAGGATATAGAAAATGCTAATATGCGTACAATCAGGTCTCTTACATTGACAAAATATTTTCTCTGATCAATAATTAAAAATGGCTTTAAGAGAATGTATCTTTAGCTCTTAAAGAAGATAATCCTTTTAACAGAACCTATGGTTATGTGCTACAAAATCACAACAGACTTCCAAAAGCAGCCCCACCAAAAATGGCTAGGACATGTGACAAGATAGGAAAATAATGATATAATCAGAATTTTATCTTTCCACAATTTTTTTTCTAATCATTTCATGCCATGCAAGGTGATAAAGCCACCAAGATGTAAGAGATTACTGAGTATGAAAGAATCTGAGAAAAAAAATATTAAAAAGAGTGGACAATAAAAGAACAGCAATTAAGAAAACAGAAGATAATGATTCATGCTGCTATTAAATTTTTGAAGATCAAAGTTTATTGGAACACAAAAATCCAAGAGATAGTTCCACAAGTGAGAAGTGCAAGAGAAGAAACTGTTAACATAGAACATCTAGTAACTCCAAATGTAAACTGATGAAACCTAGCTGCCAATCTAGTACTGCACTTAAATTTGTAAAGATGCATTACCATTAGAACACTTTATTATTAAATATCTATAGAAAATGCACAGGAAAGCTATTTTGCAGTGGTAGAAAAGTGAATGCAGCCAAGATGCCATGCCAGGATCGATAACATTGCTGATTCTTTTTTTGTATTTAATGAAGAATCTCTAAATATGTAGCAGAAGCACCATACCAGATGTGGCAACAATATTCAATGCATGGACGAATGGTAAACTTATAAAGATTTTGGTGAGAAAAATTGTCTAGCATGACACAGTGAACCAACTTTCCTACCAGCAGTGACCCAGGCTAAATAAAGCAACCTTTCAGTTTGCTGCTGTAAAACTAACTTAAATTGACTGCCACTATTGTCACTGTATAGAGTGAAGTCACTTAGTAACCATCAAGTGACTTATCCCCCATGGAAGGGAGATAATCGCCTTCTTTATATCTACAGTGGAATATTTTAGTTGTAATTTGAATCAAAAGCTGATTTTTCTACTGGATAAATAATCATAACCTGCATATTACTGTGTGAACTGATTTCTTTTATTTTGTTTCAGGATATAAAAACTCCATGGAAGCCAAACATTTGTTTCAATTTCCTTGATCAGTTCCTTACGCTTATTAAAGATACAGTCAAAGTAAATGATCCCAGGTAAAAGATACTGTTTTTTTTTTAATGTTTTATTGTTAGTTTCATAGTTAATTGAATTTCAATTCTTATTTAATTGAATTTCACACTCTGTACATACAGCATTTTGTAAAAAGTGTTAATTAGATATTTGATAGCATTTTATTATTTACATTATTTTGTACAGACAGGAGGAAATATGAAGAACAATTGAAAATAAATTCATTCTATAAATATTGAATATACCTTTATTTTTGGTCTTCTACTTCTTAGGCATAAAGAAAAATATGTAGGTATGTTTTCTGGTTTTTTTTTTAATTTGGTATATTTGGGTAGCAATAATTCTTTTAAACATGCATTGTTAAAAGCAACAGACATTTTATGCCTATTAAATTTGATTTTGTAATGTATAAATATCCCTTCGCATATATCATTGTTGTTGTGTATAGATAAATTTTTCCAAATTCATGTTGTGTCATCCAAGCTTACAAGTAACATATCATCTGGGAGTGTAGGTGGAAAAAGAAAATGAAATGCACCAAGTCATTTTCATTTTAATCAATTCACCCCATGCAAGATGATAATGCCACTAAGATGTAAGGGGCTCCTGGGAGTGAAAGAGAATGAAAAATACTTTGGAAGAAACTGGAAGCCCAATCTTAAACAGGAAACAAGGGATAAACCTCTAATCCTGTTAAAAAAAACAGGGAGCAGTGTGAACAGGATGTGACAGCAATGAGAAATAATTCAGTAATTTTTTTTTTTATATCTGCATTTAAGAATGTGGTGTTTCAGAAGGTAAGTATTTTTTATTTATGGATGTTTGCTTAAGATGGGTGCAAATTGCTCCTATAATCTTTGGGGTTTTTTTTGTTTTGTTTACAATTAGACTTATAAAGTATTTTTGTATTATTAGAAAGTGGTTATCTAATATTATTGTAATTGGGGGTAATGAAAAGTTCTCAGCTCAACCCATGTCCCAAAATCTGACAAAACAGAATTTTATTTTAACTTTTTATCTGGACTAAGAACTTTTCTCCAAGAATTATCCCTAATCTTATTATATAAAAGCAAATATCATTATTCATTTGTTTATGGATTTTGTCATGCAAACATATATATATATATATGAAGTCGAAAAGAATGTCTTGCTGCATTTGTAGAAAGAAAAGAAATAAATGTTTCTTTGTTCTCAATTGATATATTTATTAAAGATAATATTTCTATTCATTATCAATTATTACATAATCCCCCATTGATTTGATAAACTATTGATTCCCTTGGGTATGAAATTCTTTAGGTTTTCATACAAAGAAACACTTAATATCATTTTTAACCTCTTCACAAATAATAAAATGTTACAATGATCTGAAAAGATGATAGTCCAATGAAGCATAGTCAGAAAAATAAGAAGAATGAATCAAAACTTCCATATTTAATGCTATAATCTTTTAGTGAAGGACTAGGGCAACATGTAATTATTTTGTAAGAACAACACACTTTTATGATTAACAATGCATTTCATCTGTAGTTGAAGGCATACATCTGTATAGAAAATATTTATATTTTGAAATTATTTAACCCATAGAGGTTGATATGCTGCTACACAAAATCAACCAGTGTGTGTTAAACATTGTCATTATAGAGAACCCACTTTTCATTACTGGTGATGTTTCTACTCAGAAATGGTTCGCTAACAAGTCTACTCTTCAATGATGAGCAGAGGACACATGATTAAATTGAGAAGCAGTTCATGAAGGTGTTTCATGATCAAAGTGTAACTCTTGTATTTAACTGTTTTTCTAATTCTTGTGCTTCTGTTTGGGATTCTACTCAACTCCAAATAACAGAAGCTCAATATTGACAGAACTTGATTGTTCAGATCTAGAGGAGTCTTTGTGAGAAAAAATTTCCAAATTGAAACTGACCAAATAATCATTGGCATATCTGAACAATTAAAACTTAATTTCTATAAATAGAATGTATATTTTCTGCTGCCTCCATTACTAAAGAGTTCTTTTTGAATTCATATAGCATATGATATCTGATATAGGTCTGATGTAACCTAATTTTCAAAGGCAAAATCAAAACGAAATTTCTCCACTTTGAGGAAAAAAGCATTAGAAATATAAAAATTAATGGCTATTTTTTTATTTTTTTTATTTTTAATTTTTTTTTGCTTTTTTGTAACCATTTCACTCCATGCAAAGCAATAAGGCCATTAAGACACAATGAGTTAGTGAGAATGAAAGAGAATAAGAAGAATTTAGGCAGGAGAAAGGACAAAAAAAAACAAAACAATTCAGGAAGACAGAAGATGGTGATTGGCATTGCATTTATATTTTTGAAGATTGTAGTTTACAGGAAAGCAAGAAGCTAGAAGAGAGTTCAACAAGTGATAAGTCCTAAAGATGAAACTATTAGAATTTTGGTTACATCTAGCAATTTCAACCATAAAGTGATTAAACATAGTTGCTAATCTAGTAGTATGCTTAAATTCATGCAGTCATGGTATCAAGATAGAGAGAAGCGATGTCATGGCTGTGGGAAAGTAACTGAAGTCAAAATGCCAGGGCTAGGATCAGTAATATTAAAGAGCCTTTGGATTTTGTTGAGAATCTTGAAATATACAGCCAGAGCACCTGACCAAATATGACAGCAAAATATTTAATGCATGGATGAATGGTAGATTTATAAATGTGCAGTAGAACAATTGTCTGGCACAAAACCATGAACCAACCTTCTTATCAGCAGACCTAGCAATTGATTTAATACAATTACTTTTAATAGTAAATATTGAAAAAGAAAACCTCAATCAAAAATTTGATACAACTTGCTTTCCAACCTAATAAAAATAAGTGAACCCTGATTTCAATCTTTTACCTGGAAGTAAGCAGGTAAGTACCATGTGGCTGTAAACATAATAAACCTGCTTGACTATTGCTGAAATATTTGGGTAAAATTAGTTTGGGCTTTTTATTTAATTCTATTATTATTATTCTGAGTTTCTTTCAATATATTTGTATTTTTCAAATATTGATGATTTAACTTATTTAAAACAACAAAAACTAAATTTAATATTGTCTCTAAATTTTTATTAATTTTAATGAGATAACCATATGAATAAGATTTCTTTAAACTCCTGTTATAATTGTAAAGTTTGTTAATGAAAGTTTAAAAGCAAAAGTAATTAAAAAATAATATTCAAAATTTGTTTCCAAATTTTGAATGTTTCTTTTTACATTCTTTGAAAACAAAATCTCTCATTCATTTCATTTATTTAAAAAAAAATCAATGATATTCAAATATTTCCATGAATTTAACTTAAAATGAAAACATTTTTCCTTAGTATTTATTTGACTATGAAAAATTTTAACAAATATTACGTAAACTTTGAAATGAAAAGCATTTTCTATTGAGCTTAGACTTAGTATTTTGATGATTGTGATAACAGTAATCATAAAGTAGGCATTTTAGATGGTTTGTCTAATGTTTGCTGGTTTTAGATAGTCTGTCTTGCTTGACTTAAATTCTCATTCTAGCAATCTAAAAATACTGGAATTTGTCAAAAACAACTTGGTTAACATACTGATCAAAAAATTAAATACACAGACCTAGCAGGTTTTATTCAATAAAAATAAGTATTCACTGAATTTCCATATTGTATGTCTATAAAAAAAGAAATTATTATATCAAAAATGTTATAACATGTTGGTGTCTCATGACTTGTGTTAAGCTGCGTTGATTTAGTTTTCAAAAAGTAACAGCACTTTCAAAAATACTAATACCATTTACTTCTTAGAACATGCGTAATTTTCTTTTCTCATTCCCCTTTCTTGAGATAACATGAGTTTTAAACAACGGAATGAAGATTTTATCGCAGTTGCAATAAGTTTGTCTTTGTAATTTACTCTTGATGATCTTGGAAAAGATCAAAAGTACTTGGGTTAGAAAAAACTACCCACAACTTCCTTGATGAATTTCATCTTAACATCAAGAAGTAAAAAATTGGAAAGGATCAGTATAAGTAGGCACAATATGTCTATATTATTCAATTAAAAATTTTTGAATGCTGCATATATATATATATATATATATATATATAAAAATGGTTTTCACCCTGTACAAGGCCCAGGAGCCACTCAAGGTAGAAGGTTACAGAGCAAGAGGCACAGATGTATGGAACTGTAGTGGTTAACTGTAGACTTGAACAGGTTAAAACTATAGTGATTGGTGGAAGTCAGTTCCACAAGACAGCTTGGGGTGAAATGATTATTTAAAAAAATGTGCTTGTTATTTGTATTTAGTAATAGACTTCAATTATCTTATTCTGTTTAAAGTCATTATGTAATTAATTTGTTTTTTCTTCTATTTTAATAGAAATGTTTATTTGTTCAGCCGAGATTCAAAATCAAATGATATTACATGGCAAAATGTTGGACCAGATTCTGAATTTCAGTTCCTTCCACAATGGTACATTGACGAATTCGAAAAATAAAAATATGATTTCTGTGAATGTTTGGCTTCAAGAATAAAATTTGTTTGTCAAAATTGATTTTCAGGATAACACCCGATGTTTCTGATTCTTAATTTAAGAAATTTTTTTTTATTTTCCATTTCAGGATGGTTTTATTTTTGGAAATTAAAGCAATCAAAGAAAAATTTGGTTTTCTTTTATTAAAAAAAAAAAAGAGAAAAATTTTTAAATTAAAACATTTCTTTTGATAAAGTTATACCTACATTTATTTAAAAATATTATTCACCACATTTTCAAAGTTTTGAAATCGGAAGGGAATTCTTTTCAAAAACTTTTGATTTTATTTCTGTGAAATTGTAATTCTCTGGTAATTCTTCTAACACGTTTATTCCATCAGAGTATTCATGTTGCCAAAGACGTGTTAAATATTCTAGACATTCAAACTGTTTTTTAATTATATAAAAAAATTGTTTGGCAGCAATTTCTTTTTCAAATATTGTTTGAATGTAATATACCAGAGGAATTTCCAGTAATGAACATCTGTTGCCTCACATAATTTCAAACAGTTCTCTAAAATTTGTAAAAATAAAATACATACTTATACAAGCCATTGTCAGGATCACTTCACACGTGTCCACATGATAGACAGTAGTACAGTGTACAAGATTGTACTTTTTAATTTGGAATCTTTTTTTTGATTTTATTTTGCACATGAAAATGGTTGATTTCATTTTATGAAATGAATGATTTTTATGAATAGTGAAAGAACAGGATCTTGATTTTCATTTTGTTTCATTTAACTGAACATTTCATATATATTCAAAATGTTAACACTTTAAATTCTGACCTACAGGGAATTCTGAAGAGTATGTTTGATGCTGATAAACATCAGTTGTACCCCCTCCAGAATAACAACAGGTGGGGACAGAAGGGACAGGAAGGATGAACAGGAAATTTGCCATGGTCTATCTAACTTACATAAAGTGTTTATTGGAAAAGATTCAGAAGCAGTTTCACTCTGCAGGGAAATAACTGCTGAATAAAATCCAATAACAAGGAGAACATGACTTGTACTTGATTCTTTGCTGTTGTGGTAGAGAATATAAAGGTGAAAGAAGCCATCATCTAAAAGTAAGGCTGGAGGAACATTGAAAAGCTGTAGTGAGTGGTGAAACAATGAAATTGTGCATAGCTGATCATGTATGGAGGGAATGAAGTAAAAATTCTAGAAAAGGAAGAACACTGACGTGAGACATCTGAAAGAATCAACACACATAGTAGGCTATGAGGACTTCTTTAGTAGGCCAAACATAGAAATAAATACAATATGGAAGGCGCTAATAATGAAAAACAAGTCTTCAACAGCAGTAGCAACCATCAAAAGATGACAGGCAGCAGTTGCAGCATTGATCAGCAGGAAGCTTAGGTTTAAGGCTCCAAGTTTACTACAGCAAATTGTTCTATGGGACAATGGATAGTGGTTGTAAGTAGGGCAGTGTATACTTGGCTGAGCAATAACTAAAAAATAAAAACTAGATGAGATATCCCTAAGCATGGGCAGTGGAACGAGAACAGTCAACACCAGTATATTAAATAAAGGGTTCATTTCAGAATTCCTTGTAGGTTACCCAGATCAATATACACCTCAGGAATATCGAAAGACACAATGGCTGAAATATTGTGATAACAACAAAGATTTGAAGAATAGTTCACATAATGATAACTCCTCATCCCAGAAATTCAGACAGAAAATATTCAAAATGTGACATTTATATCTTACTTATTATAAAACGCAGATTGTGTGTGTGTGTGTGTCTGTAACGTTTATATGTTGGATCGAATTTCCTACATTTTTTAGCCGATTTCAACAAAACTTCACATAAAATTACCTTTTGGTGGTTCTAACGGGGCCGAAAATGGGAAAGACACAGTTGTTTTTTAATAAAATCATTTTGAAAATACGATTAAGACACATCGTTAGAATGAAAGGGGGGCAACTCACCCACGAAAATGTAAACAAAAGAGCATAGCATGATGAAAAAGACGCCGAACTTGACGAAAACAAAATTTTATCGTCTAATGTTCATATTATTATTAAAGAGGAAAGATCAAAGTATTTTGGGGGTATTTTTTTACATTTTTTAATTGTCTGAAATTTTTGTTAAAAATATATTTTTTTTTTTTTTTTTTTTGTCAATTTTTCGATTTGATAAAAAAGATTAAAATCTTACTTTGATATTCTTTTAAAAATCAATTATCATTTTTTCAAAACTGATTTTAATAAAAACAGAAATTATACTGTTTATTTAAAATATTTTGAACCAAGCTTAACTTAGCTTCTGCGCCGAAAAAAATGTAATTTGAAAATAAAACAAAGCAGGTCATAACCTTTCGCGTCGCTTGACGATTGACGAAAAGCATATTCATGACGTTTAGATAACTTACGGGAGGAGAATTCTTTCTACGGATGGAAGGAAGTGAAATTATTTAAGTGAACGAATTATTTACCTTGTTACTTTTAAGGAAAACTTTCAGCGCTCTAATTTTTTATTTTTTTAAAATTTTTTTTGTACTTAGCTTTCGTTTTTACGTTTACGATGCTTTATGGAAAATATAAAGAAATTAAAAAAATAAGACTGTTAATAGTGAGATTAAATTTCATAAGAAAAAGGTATCTAATTAGGTACCTTTCTTATGAAATTTTATCAGAAGTGTACATAAAATACTATAATTTTATGTACATTTATTACATTTTACTGTGTTATTTGTATTTCCATTCATTTTATTATTAATTTTGATATTTCATTTATGGAAAAATGTCATAACTGAGATTAATATAAAAATAAGATCATATAAATTAAAGTCTAGCAGTAGTTAAATTTCATAAGATGATACTGTTACTTGTAGGTACCCTTCTCAGTTGAAATTGAAAACTCAAATTAACTTCTCCATACGTGTTTCGCAAAAGTAAAGGGCTTAACAGCGGAGAACAATGCTGAACTCAAATAATGCAACTAAATTGTATTCTGGTTGGTCTTCCGTACTTGATAATTACTGTCCGACTATAAACACAAAAATTACATTTCTTAATTACCATGGCTAATCTGATTGGTCCAAATTATACAATTTTCAAAGCGCTAGACAATGACAATCTCACACGGACATTTTGAAAGGTTGATGTTGCTTTTAACTAATGTTAAAATATTTTTAAAAATTCAATTTAAAAATTTTTTAAAATTAAAGAAATAAGAAATAATTGTATTAAAAATTCAATTTTCATTGAAAAGATTTTTTGCTTTCAGAAAATATTGTCCATATTCATAAAAACAAATTAAAACAAATAAAAGCATTTGAAACTAAATAATATATTTGTTTTATTGAGTTTTGTATATTACAATTCACAGCTGATTTTCAGGTACGTTGGCCAAAAAAAAAAAAAAACAAGATTTGCATTCTTCAAAGCCTTGTGCTTTTAACTATTGTAATCACTAAAACCGATTGTCTCGAATTTCTAGAGTTTTTCATAAAATTAGTTATGGGGGTGTTAATAAATATAAAAAAAAAATATTTCTGCCATGACTTTAATAAAAAAAAACATATTTATAATAATTTCGATCATCTGTGAATAGTTTCTGAAAGTTTCTTTAACATCTGACAATTATTTTTATTTTTGCAAGATTTTCCAAATTAATGTGTGTAAATACAAAAAAACGCGCTAAAAATTATCTATGTTATTTACTACCCCTTGTTGCGACAAACAGAAACAAGGTTTTTTAAATCAAAATTTAGAATATTCTAAAAAGATGGAAAAATTTTTTAAAAATAATTAAAAAAAAATTTAGTCTATCCTCTTCATAAAAAAATAAGCATTTTGACGATAAAATTTTGTTTTCATAAACTTTGGCGTCTTTTTCATCAGACTATGCTCTATGTTTTAGCGATTCCGTGGAGTGACTTAGGTTAAAAAACCCAGGTTGTTTGTGTGTGTGTGTGTGTCCTTTATAAATGGGATCGGATTTATTTTTTCAGCCGATAAAACAAACATCCACTTTTTTTTTTCGGCAGGTAGTATTTCTTATTGTCTTGCACACTTTTTTTTCTTTATTTACATTCAGGATGCTTTAAAAATTCCATTTACAAGACAATTGTTTATAATAAAATTCTATTCACCAATCGATAGACTCATAACGATTGTAAACAATGTTTTTGTTTGAATTTGGGTTTGACCAATTCGTAAAAAAAAAACAAAAAAAAAAACTAATTAAGACATGCGTGTCCGTCAACCTTAAACAATAATCTTTGTCAATTTTATATTTCAGTCTTTATGATGGTCGATACTTGATCTATCTCTTACTGTTACATCCCCGGACAACGCCGGGCTCTACTGCTAGTATATATATAAAAGTGAACATTGAATTCAACACTTACCGGCAATAGGATGTTTCATGCTAGATGCAATCGTCAGGCCATGAGTATTGTTTTTTTCTCGGCTATTTATATATACGGTTTAATGGTGCATTGTGGGTAGTCTATTTTGGCCGATGTATAGCGTATAGCCGACAAAATAAACTACCCACAATGCACCACTGACCCGTATATATATAAATAGCCGAGGAAAAAACAAGACTTGTGGCCTGACGATTTCATCTAGCATGAAACAGACTGTCGCCTCTAAGTGTTGACTTCAATGTTCAGTTTTATATTTACACACGCTCTGTCTCTGATATTGAGCACTTTATCCCATAAATATAGCACACCTTAACAGTATATTTCTTTATATATATATATATATATATATATATATATATATATATATAAATTGGTCACAAGAATTTAAGTAGGTATTAAATTTAATTCTCTTCTTCATACCTCATGGAAATCTTTTTCTCAGTTAAAAAAAAAACTTTTTTTTTTTAATGATCAATATTAACTGTTCAAAAAGACAACTTTTTTTACACACAGGTTGGTTATTGAATAACATGTTTTTGGTACTAAGCACGTTGACATCAGAAATAGATTCT